AAATAGTTCCTTCACCTTCCCTCTACTCTGAGCTCCTGCTCTATACTTAAAAGTTCAGCAGTTTTGGCCAACACCAGGTCTGGGGGGTTATTTTTGTTTTATTTTTGATTTTTTTATAGATTTTATGAATTTCTTAGAGAGAGTGGAAGAGAGTGTGAGCAGGGGGAGGGAGAAAAATCTCCAGCAGACTCCCCACTGAGCCCAGAGGCTGCCACGGAGCTCCATCTTAGGACCTGCTCTAGGACCTGAGCTGCAATCAGGAGTCGGACAATTAACCAACTGAGCCAACCAGGCGCCCCTCCGGGGATTTATTAAATGAGGCTTGGGACATACCCTTCAGAGATGAAGCCCTGAGACACTGTCAACTGAGTGAAAGTGTATGTGCTTAAGGTGGGGCCCAGTAAACAGTTCCCAACAGTAGAGGAACACGTTGTGTAATACAGAGGAGGCAGTTAAACACGGCCCGTGAAGAACGGGGCAAACTTCAGAGAGGAGGTGACAGGGAAGAGGTACTTTGGTAAGTGGCTAGAGATGCTCTCAGTGGGAGGGGGTGGGCCAGGGGAGAAAGTGGGCAGCACGCACAAACACAAGTGCTCCACAAATAGGACTAACTTTTCTCCTCAGTGCTTCCTCTCGTTGCTTTGATTTCCTATGTTTGGCCCCAGAGAAAGCTCTTAACTGATTTTCACCTACTTTTAACTGCATTACAACTTGTTAATTTTTCTCCACTGTTTTGAAATGGACCATCTTTCATCTGTTTTCCTTTTCTTATATGAAGGTACTTCTGTGAATTGTGTTTTTTCTTTTCTTTCTCTCCTTGCTTCATCCTTTTCTAGCTGAGTCTTTGACTTCAAAATCAGATGTGAAATGCTCACTGGGGGTACAGAGTAGGAAGGACACACAGTAAAGTAGCAACTTCAGTAAAGCAGGAAAAGTGCTTATGATGGAGGCCTTATCCGTTGCCCAAGGTGTACATAGAGGACATCTAAGTCAGTCCGTGTTTGGGCAGAAGGAATGCCTCCTAGAAGATGTGCCTGGACTCAGACGTGATCTTTAAAATCCCTGTGCATGTACCATCACTGGTCAGACTTCACATTTAGGATCTTGTTGATAGAGGTAAAAACATGAAAAATATGTTGGAAACTATTGTTTCCCAAGTGATAGAACAATTTAAAAAAAACTTCCTTTTTTCAGCAAATTTATTAAAAGCTAGCTTCTGGTTTTCTGACCTAATACAGTTAAATTTGTGTTTTTTTCCTTCATAGCTTTGGTGTTCTCTAATTTTAAGACTTACTCAAAACATAGTTGAAAATTCTCACATTTACTTCTTTCTCTTTTTAAATCAGCCATAAAGTTTCATGAGCACTTTCCATTTTCTAATGATTTTAAGATTGCGAGAAGAAAAAGATAACTGAAGACCGTCCAGGTCAATGGGTAGCTTAAACTTGAAGAAGTCTGTTAGAGAAATCAAAGCAGGTCCTTGGTTCAAAATGTTGCCTTCCTGCTAGAGGAATAGAGTCTTCATTATCTTCGTTTCTCCTCCATTCTTAGGGCAGAAACAGATCTTCTAATGTTTGCTAGGAGATGACAACATCAAGGCTAAAAAATACTTCGATGAGCTGGTGTCATTTTGATGCTCCAGTAGAAGTCAGACTGGGCAGAAGAGAAGCTCTGAAGATCCAAGTGTTTGAAATTTGGAGATTTAAAAAAAGCAAGCAGAAAACTGGGAGATGTTATTTCAGTCACTGCCAAAATGGGATGTGATTCAGTTTGTTTACTTATATAATCCAGTGTTGAGCACTTATTAATTGGATTCTGCAAATACTTGCAGTTCATAATGTTCTACATATTTCATCACACTGAATATAAGTTTAAATAAAATTATAAGATTTGTTATTTAGGTTTCAGGCCGTGTTTGAACCTGCAAGTAGTTTGCAGTTTAAATTATCACTTAATTTGCTGCATAAATAGAATTGGGCAGCACCTGTTCGAAAGAGTCTTCAGACAATGCATGGGACCTAGTGTCAGCCTTTTGTCTCCTACAATTTGTGACTGTTGCATACTTCAGCGCTTGATAAACTATGCCTCTGTGCAGAGAGCCCCTTCAGTGTTGCTAGGAAACCCAGTAACTGTTTTGTACAATCTTGAGATTTTAATTCATTTCTAGTGCAACACATTGAAGAGCAGTTGAATGTTTTAAACATTTTTTTAGAAAGAAATGCTGAAAGCCATTTAAAAATCTGTTTAATATTTTTTTAGCAGCACACACATTAAGAAAATACCAGTATAGGGGTGCCTGGGTGGCTCAGTTGGTTAAGCAACTGCCTTCAGCTCCGGTCACGGTCCCAGGGTCCTGGGATCGAGCCCCGCATCGGGCTCCCTGCTCGGCGGGAAGCCTGCTTCTCCCTCTCCCACTCCCCCCGCTTGTGTTCCCTCTCTCGCTGTCTCTCTGTCAATTAAATAAATAAAATCTTTAAAAAAATAAAAAATAAAAAATAAAAAATAAAAAAAAAGAAAATACCAGTATAAAGCAGAAACGGGCAATCACCTTAAAATCTCAGTTCTCAAAAAATAACTGCTCTTAACAGTTTAAGATATATCTTTGTGGATCATTTTTATACATATGTAACTGTTCCCTAAGGTAGTGTTTTAAGGTAAAAGTAATTTTTATGTGTCAAACAACAAAGAATGAAAGATACTATCATGAAAACTGAGTTGCATTTTATTCTAATGACTGCAATAGAAGTACAGAGAGCATGGTTAAAATTTGAATAGGTACATATTTAGATGTTTGGTGTCATTTAACTTTTTTTATTATTTATGTATTTATTTATTTTAAAGATTTTATTTATTTGAGAGCGAGCACATGAGAGGGGGGAGGGTCAGGGAGAAGCAGACTCCCTGCTGAGCGGGGAGCCTGATCCCAGGACTCCAGGATCATGACCTGAGCCGAAGGCAGTCGCTTAACCAACTGAGCCACTCAGGCGCCCTAACTTTTTTTATTTTTATAAAATAAAAACTCGAAAAGCACCGAGGAACCAGAAAGTTTTAATTTTTTTTTTTTTAAACAAAAGTTCATTTTCTTTTATATTCTGGCTTTGATATTTTGGGGCTATGTCTTGATTCATTTTGGAATGGAATTTTCATTCTGGAGTGTACTCAGATTGTTTTTACCTTAATACGTAAAGTATCAATACCCAGACAAATGGAGATAACAAATTGTAGTAGCTATAGAAAGGAGATCCTCATATAGCAGGAACAACTTCTGGTAGATTAATACTCTCTTTCAACCTTTATAAAATTGATCAGATTTATGATCTAGTCACCAGTTCTTTTCTGCTAATGTGCAAGGAACTACAACAAGAGATAGAGGCATCCACAAAAATGTTTAAACCCTTTTGGGGCTAATGATTTAAGTCAGGACATGGAATTTTAAAATTACTTAAAAATGCAAGGTATTATGGGAAGAAGACAAGCTCATCAACATCTAGAACACATGACAAAACCTTGGAGGCTACCTAAGTCAACTTCACAATAAAGCTTATGAAGGAAAAAACCCCAAGATAGTATAAATACTAAGTAAGTGCCAAAAGAGTAATCATAGCAGAAAGTAAAGTACTGTGAATATTTGTAGGAAGATGGAATAAATCACTGTAGGCTAGAGAGGTAGAAGAGCGCCTGAGTGAATGAGGGAGGGATTGGAACTGAGTTTATTAGAAACGATAGAAAGTATTTATTAGAGGATTGAATATTAATTCAGGAGAAACACTTGAGATTATACACATAAATACCAAATCATAATTTTAAATAAAAATGTGGACATGAAATGGAGATTGGAATAGTAATGGACCTTTTTTAGGATATTAAACAGTCCATTTGGGCTGAATCACTGGGTTTGGATGGTGTATCATCAGTTTTTGCTGTGTAACAAAGCAACCCAAACTCTAGAGGCTTAAAACAAAAAATTATGTGTTGCTTTGTGATCCTGTGGGTTGTCAGTTTAGGCCAGGCTGAGATGGGAAGTTCTGGTCTCCCATGGGGCTGCAGGCAGCTGGTCTGGAACGGGGGCTGGAAATTCTAAGGTGGCCGCATATTGAGCACTTGCAGCTGCTGAACACCTCTGTTCTCTCCTGTGTGGCTTGGTCACTCGGTGCCAGGGGTCTGAGAGGGCGAGGGTGGGGGCAGCGGGGTCTCTTGAGGTCTTGCCTCGAAACTCACAGCTGCGCCCAGACTGCTCTGTTGGTCAGAGTTAGGCCAGCCTCTGATTGAAGGGAGCAGAGAGTCTTAGTTTTTGTCCAGTTTGGGTCTGCTATTTGAGGAGTGCCCTTAAATGTGATTAAAAGCTTATGATGGTGCTTGAATATAAACGGTTTGAATGTAACATCTTTCATTCTCAATCTCTTGGCTTCAACTTTATTAACATTTTATTACAAGTGACAGTTGATATGTATTAAGCTTCCTTGGGGATAATGGAAAGGATTGTGGGATGGCTGATAATTTAATTCTTCATTTTGGTTTGGTCTGTTGGGGTTTATTATATGAAAAACAACATCAAAATCATCATTATAGAGAATTAGGACTGTCAAAATTCATGAGCATGTGTCCCAGCAGCAAGAGTTACCAGTGTTGTGTATGGCACTGTGGCAAGTAGGAATAAATGTAGCCCTGAGTTAGTATGATATAACTGACCTTTTAGAGACTAGCTAAATTCACTTTTAAAGATCTGCTTGGACATAGAATACCCTCTACTAATAGAAACTTGTATCTCATATGACGCTGGGAGATTCTCAATGCTCTTAAAGGAAATTGTATCAGATAAGATGATATTAATATTGGCATTCCATTTCTACAAAGGCACAAACTGAAAACTGGGGACCACTGAGTTTGAACCTCATCGCTCTGGTCACAAATCGCATCCTGTTCTGCACAGCTGGGGTGTGCTGAGTGTGCTGCCAGTCTAACAGCAGATGCTTAGTCCATGTGCATGTTTCTTTCTCCAGATTTTACCAGAAGTTTGAGTATCACTACTCCTGATCAGATGATTGAAAAGGCCAAAGGGGAAACTGCTTATTTGCCATGCAAATTTACCCTTAGTCCAGAAGACCAGGGACCACTGGATATTGAATGGCTGCTATCACCAGCTGATAATCAGAAAGTGGATCAAGTGGTAAGTTTGCTGAGTGCTTGCTCACTTAGTAGATGTCTGTGGAACTTCTTAGGTGTCCATCACTATGCTGATCACAGAGGCAGGGGTGGGAATGGGGGAGCTATGTAGAAAGCCCCAGACTTCTCTGGCTTGTGGTCTGGGTGAGGAAGACAGTCACTGGATGGAAAGTGAGGACACGTGTAATGGAATGAAATGGGTAAGTGGCCTGAGATTTCTTAGTGAAGGCTTTAAGGAAGAAGAGGAACTTAAGAACGTTCTGAAAACCTGGAGTTGGAAATGTGCGTGAGGGAGTGGTGGGAGGGGTACATGGAGCAGGCATGATAGAAAGCATGGTAGGAACATGCATAATGTGTTAGGGGACAGCAAGTAAACTAGACTTTGTGAAGAATTAGAAAGAATTCAGCTTTTTTGTTTTTTGTTTTATTTCTTAATTTTTTTTTTTTTTTGAGAATTCAGTTTTTAACACAAGAATTCTGTTACCGCTATAAGGGTCATTGAGTGTAACAGTGTAATGCAAGTACATATTACAACAGTCTGTCTTCCATATTCTTCAAGTTAAATGTCCTGAATAATGAATTTCTTAAAAAGCAAAACAAAATCTTCGTGGCAAAACAGTTTATAAAATATTTAATCTAAAAAATGAAATAGCAAAATACTGTTATAGACATTTTTCTAATTATAAAGTATTAAGAGCCTAAGGTTGAAAACCTGGAAAGCCAAAAGTGGCACAAGGGAGGAAAATTGCCTACTAATCTCCTCTCCAAATATATATATCACACAATTAGTACTAAAATATTTCACTTAACTTAGAATATTTCATATTAGCTTTATCTGACACGTTTAGTTCTAATAAACACATTGTATTAGATCAGGGAGAGAAAAGTAAGTCCAAATATTTACAGGAATATATTAGTAATATACACATTTGGAAGAGAAAATTTATTTTTATTTATGGTCCATAGAAAAGAAGAGGTTATTAAGCCACTTAATGACTGAAACAGTGCAGTTAGGTAATTACTGTTTTTGCAAATTCAGACAGTTTACCCCTGATGTATTTGTGAAGGAAAAAATTAATGTCTTTCCCAGGTTGTGAATGACCAGGGCCACCTCCTCCAAAGACTTACCTCTGTCCCAATTGTGCTACCGGAAGGAACTTCCTTCTGTCTTCCCTAAGCAAAATAGAGCCTGACTCATTCTGTCTACTCAGCCCAGATACCCTGTGCCTCCCTGCTTGCTCTTCTTTCCCCTTAGTGTCTTTCCTTGGCAGTGCCAACACCTTGAACATAGGCTTCTATTCTACCTCAGGTTCTGCATACCCCTCCTCTGGCAGTGCCAGGGCTGTAGAGCCCATGACCGCTCCCGTGGTTCAGATGAATGAATGGAGAGCATGGGTCTTAAATGCTTCTGGCTTAGGACTCCTGAGTGAAGCCCTCTGAAAAGATACGTCTAGAGACCAAGAAGCACAGTGTGCCCTGTAGCCTGGCGTGTCCGTTCATGGCAGGAGGACCCAGAGTCTTCTGTGCTGAGTGGGAGGCAGAGCTTTATTGCCTACGGGACTTAGGAGACAAGTATCAAACTAGGAACTGGGTTTTAGTGTCCATTTCTGGGTTAAAACCTAGCCTCTAACCTAAAATATGGTAAAATCAAACCAAAAAGAAAGGTAAAAGGGATAGGGAGAGATGATACAGAAGAGGATGCTTATATAGAATTTCAGCTATGTTATCTGTTAGCTGAGCCATTATTTTAATTCAGTTAAACTAGTAGTGACTGTAGCAGGGCCTGGGCTGGAGAAGTTAGCCATCCTTGTTCCCCATGTGATCTCTTTAGTCAGCAGTTACCATGTACTATGCACTTTCTGTGTGCTGGGCAGTGTTTTATAGATTTTAATTATATATAGTTATTTAAGCCTTAGAACAACCTAAAATGAGAATTTTTATGCATGTGAAGAAGAGGAAATGGAGGCCCACTGTCACACAGCTGGCAACAGATGCAGTTGGGGCTTGGACTCAGGTCTCTCTCGCTCCCCTGCCACACTTTGTGATCCCTTGCACTGCCCCCATACTGCCTCCCGTGTTTCATAAGCCTCTGTCCTCCTGTAAAATAGGAAAAAGACAGGGTTGTAATGAGAATTCACTGAAATACTGTATGCATAAGGATTTTAGAAGCTTAAAAGTCCTGTAGAAATTAACGAAGTCAGTACCAAGTCAATAAGCATACCAAGTTAAATGGATCTGGTTTGCATCTTAGCTGTGGGACTTTGCAAAAGTTCATCTGTGAGAGTCACTGCCCTCCTCAGCTTCAAGGGTGACTGTGGATGGTGCCACTGTCTTTGTAGGGTTGTGAAGAGGAGTCAGAATTTTCTGGTAAATGTTAGTTCTCCGCCACGTGACCACCATTTGTAGTATCGTTTTCCTGGGGAAATACTAAGAGAGTTTACAAAATAACTAACAGTGAGGACACATGTCAGACTCTCCTTAACAAACTGCTAAGGTGTGTTTATAGCAAAATGAGGGATTGAGTACCGTAGATTGAATAAGGGAGTCAGTAGTTAAATACAGAGGAAGCTAGGACGGCCTCATTTGAATGTCAGCTGTGGACCTTTCAGCTGCTTTTTTTTAATCTACTTAGCGAACTGGTATTGAGTGCAGACATTAAATATATAAATTTTAAAAATCTCGTGGACAAGGAGTGGGGTTAGCATGGCAGGGGAGGTGATGATACCGAAAAGAACCCAAGTCCCTGTCATCAAGAAATTCCTGCTGAGGACACTGATTCTGATTATACTGCCCATAATTACATCTCAGATAAAAATTACTTGCAGGATACAGACTGTAGTCATGTTCTCTGATTATTACTTGAGTTTGGTGCCACTGCTCTTTGAACCTTTTGTCTCAGATGATCCAGTAGGATTTCATTAGAAAATGTGAAAAAATTATAAAGTATGTTAATTTGGGTGATAGAGATGACCATTGTAATTCTCTTCCAAGCCAAGTTTAACACAGAATTTATTTTCCCTCTAAATCTAGCCTTTAGTTATCTCCATTAAAGCTTGTAACAGTGGCTCAGAAAACTCAGCAGAATTAGAAAGGGGTCTTTGCTCTTAGTCTCAGAAGACTAGTTGAAAGGTCCTGTTAACCCGGGCACATGTATCTCAAGAGGTTTATTCTGTGACTTTATCTTTTAGAGTCTAGAACCCTCAAGTGCCTCTGACTTTGTATTAAGACAAAAAAATGTTGTCTTTTTTGTTGTTGTTAGATTCCACAGGTAAATTTTCACCAGCCTTTTTTGGGGAATAGGGGTGGTGGTATTTACCTGAGTTTACACATGTGATTGATATACAGTAAGCTCCGAGACAGCTGAAAAATAACATGTGTAGGAATTCGCACGTCTCTTCTCGTTCTAACTAAGCCACTCTCTTACGTCGGGCTATCTTAACTTATGTTGGGTCTTGGCTTTCCTATTTATTTATTAACATTTTCTTGTGAATTTGTTTTTATTGGGATGTAAGGGATAGTTTGGAAAATGTCGTGTGGGTTATGCCCTACCAGGTAAATGCCCATTGATCTTCCTGGGATCACTTCTGGAGCCTTGTCTTTTTCCTGGAGCCGCTACTGTTGCTGCCAGCAGCCTCTTCAGGTCCACTGGTTGGTGGCGCCTGGTTTTCCATTTAAAATGAGTGTGTGACCATACCCAAGGATCCCGTTGCTCTCTCTCTCTTTTTTTAAGATTTTATTATTTTTTAAATTGAGTACTGTGGAGAGAGAGCGAGTGGGTTGAGGGGCAGAGCGGGAGAGAGAGAATTTCAAGCAGGTTTCACACTCAGTGCAGAGCCTGACTTGAGGCTCAGTCTCACGACCCTGAGATCATGACCTGAGCTGAAATCAAGAGTCAGACGTTTAACTGACTTGAGCAACCCAGGTGCCCCAAGATTTTATTTTACTTTATTTTTTTAAAAGATTTATTTATTTGAGAGAGAGAGCACTAGTGTGGGGTGGGGACAGAAGCAGAGGGAGAAGCAGGCCTCCCCGCTGAGCAGAGAGCCTGACACAGGACTTGATCCCAGGGCTCTGGGATTATGACCTGATCTGAAGGCAGACACTTAACTGACTGAGCCACCCAGGTGCACCACCCTCCTCCAAGATTTTATCTTTAAGTAATCTTTATACCCAACATGGGGTTCAAACTTACAACCCTGAGATCAAGAGTCATATGCTCTACCTACTGAGCCAGCCGGGCACCCTGTGATGTCCTGTTTTCTTAATCTGTGATTTGAATAATTGTAGTTTTCCTGATAATACTGTGTTTTTATATTTATTTTGGATCCTACAGAAAGTACCATGGTGTATCCAGAGCTCCTTTAATGAGACAGAGGGTTTGCTTATTTGTTTTTTCCCTGTCTTATTTTGGTTTTATTTCAGATTATTTTATATTCTGGAGACAAAATTTATGACGACTACTATCAAGATCTGAAAGGACGGGTACATTTTACAAGTAGTGACCTCAAATCTGGTGACGCATCAATAAATGTAACAAATTTACGGTTGTCGGATATTGGGACATATCAGTGCAAAGTGAAAAAAGCTCCTGGTGTTGGAAATAAGAAGATTCAGCTGACAGTTCTTGGTAAATTGTTTGTATTAATGTTACTTGTTACAAAGTAATACAACACGGTTCTGTAATAGCAGCATTTGAAGTAATTCTAATGTCCTCATACAACATAAAACTAGCATACTTTTTGGATTAAAAATATAAGAAGTGACTGACTTCTTTATGAAATTCATAAAAGAGTTTAAAGGCAAATGACAGAGTTTTGTGATAAAAAAGAGCCCTAAACAGGGCATTAGGAGATCCAGGGTATTTTTTTGGTATTATGCTCAGATTTGCTTTGAAAAAGAAATAGAATCTCTTCATTTCTTGGGCCTCAGCCTACCTTTTTGAAACATAAAAAATTTAATTATCCTTAAATCTCTACCCTGTTCCATTCATTTCAGAAGTGTTTGTTATGGGCATTTTGAGCTTTTTGCAAACTATATAACTTCAATAAATGAGATTTCTATGATGAATAATTGGAATATTTAGAACCGAGAAGATGGAATGTAGTAGAAGAAATATTAAAGGGATAAGGCCATTAGACGTCAGATGATCATTTATTTTTTAATTTTTTTTAAAAAAGATTTTATTTATTTATTCATGACAGACAGAGAGAGAGAGAAGTAGAGGGAGAAGCAGGCTCCCAAGGAGCAGGGAGCCCGATGCGGGACTCGATCCCAGGACCCTGGGATCATGACCTGAGCCGAAGGCAGACGCTTAACCATCTGAGCCACCCAGGCGCCCTCAGATGATCATTTAACCTCCCTGAGCATCACTGTTTTTCATCCTTAAAATAAAGGGATTAGACAGATGATCACTAGGATATCTTGTCTCTCTGACAGTTAAGGGGATCAGTAAACTGTCAAAGACTTCCATGTTTATTTTTCTAGATTCTGTGCTTGTCACAAGCACTCTTAACTCCTTCAGACTGAGAAACTGAAAGGTTATTGTTCATAAATATACATGTAAAGTCTTAGCGTGGTAGACTTTACCCAGCAGTACAATGGCTGCCATGTAGAAAAACACAATTGTTTAGCTCTGTTTTATGACAGGGAATTCCCGTTTTGTGACCTAAGGTGTCCTATTTTGGGTTACACTTGGAGACCCACTTTGTGTAGGAAATTTGGATCGCTAGAACTGCCTAGCATACCCCTGGAGATAACTAATCAGGGCATTTCTCCCCCCCCCCCCCCCCCCCAGCAACTCTACCTCATTCCTTTTCTTTTAGAGAACTGATTGGTTGCGGGGGGGGGGGGTGGAAAACTTTAGAGGTGCTGGATTCCAGACTCATTTAAAACATCACTCTTTTCTAAAGAATGAATATCAATATCAGAGCAGGTAGAGACTGGGAACAAGAATGTGGATTTTTGTGCACTCCAGTGGCAACTTCAGGTGTTGTCTTGGTAAGACTGCCTTGCACTGGCCGCATTGTTGAGTGGGCACACAAGGGAGTCCTGGTAAAAGGCGCTTCATCCTAAATGGCCCTAGTTCAAAATGTTTCGGCTATGGTATGAAAGCCAGTGAACCTAAACAGGGAACCAGGAGAAGGAATATGGTAACATTGGGAATTCTAGCTTTCTGTGTCTACATTTAGTAAATGTGGAGTTACCTTTCTTTTTTGTAAATGTGAAAGCGGCTATAACTTGTCTGAACTCTTATCCCAGGCCCAGGCATACCTGGGATTATAAGTCTGATTGCGTATCTTCTTTGAACACATTCTCCAGGAAGCATTGAGTTAAGATAGAGATGAAATTTTAACTGGTCCATAATGTACCAAACTCTACCTGTTATCAGAATTATTTGTTGTGGACCCTGAGTGGGCAGGTACACTGGGAATAATGCGGTTGACACACATTTCCAGAAATGGTGTGAACAAGCACAGTGTGTGTGGGCGTGTGTATATTCCCATGGGACCAGGTTCTGGATTGAATTTGCAGGTCCTGACTGAAGGGACCCCTACGGCACGAGGCAGCTCATATACTACTAGAAGGAACCCGAGTCAGTAATAATGGTTGGCATGTCATGTGGCTAAGCACGCTCATGACAGCAGCCAGGACTGCCACTCAGGAGAAATGTCCCGTTTTCATTAAACCTCACAGCCCAGCTTCTCATACCTCAGGATGGGTAAGTGAGAAGCACTGACACAGTAACTCCTTTTGTCACATCTGTAGGTGATCACCATGGCCTAGCAAGCTGTGAATCCAAAGCAGGGAGAGAGGAGGGGTTAAGTGGAGGGTAAGAGAAGAAAAGGAAGTGACTGCTGAGGGGAGTGGGGATGAGTAATACTCTGATTTGAGAAGCTGTGTCAGAGCTGGAGGAGAATTTCCTGTAGTGCTCTTCCATGTTTTCAGATGAGTCATGGCTGCTGCTGGGAGAAACTACCAGAATTTGCTCTTGAAAGTGACTCTTGGGTGGAAGCTTATCTGTTAGCTTTATCTGAGGAATCTGCTTGGATAGTTGGGAGGAAAGATAAAATGAAGTGCCCTCTAGGGACCAGACTGAGTGTTAGTCCAGTGGAGCTCAGTTCACTTGAAGTCCCTGCCTAATACCTTGCTTGATTCGCTTATGGGGAATCTGGAGGAGATGCCACCAAAGTGTTCACAGAGTAACGACGTTTGTTCATTGTGCCCTGTGTGCTGTGTGGACATGAACTGGGATGACTTAGTTGCCTGGGTGTGAGAGGTGAAGTGTTACTAGAGTTTGCCCCATTGCCTGAGCCTGCCCTACTCTTTCAGATACGCCAGAAGTTCATGTAGATGCAGCTCAGTGACAGAGGGAATTGATTGAGGGTTAATAGGTGGCCACACATCACTAGCACCTTCTGCCCTTGGACCTCTGAAAGGACATATTATTGAGACCTTTTGATATAAACAGATTGGCTGGTCTTGAAGAATAGAACAACAATTAATCATTTCCCGGTTGTATACAGTGCAATTGCATGTGGGGTAGCTCGGTGAACGCTGACCCCGGGGGATTTGTAAGCCATTGGTAAAGGGCAGGGCATGTTTTTTTTTTCCATTTTTTATTTTGAAATACAAAATAAAATAGAAAAGTTTCTTTACTAGAACATGACGATTTTCCTCTCTGTAAATTAAAAAAAATAGGTATCTTTGGACCCACTTTGAGACTATGCAAATATCTTGTTTCTCCTCAAAATTTGCCCATGGTTTTCTGTGCATGGTTTCACTTGGTGACACGGTATTTTGTTGTTATTCCGTAACTTAACCCATTTATTATAGACTAGCAGTGTTTCCAGTGGTGGAGCTTCTCCTGGTCTTTCAACTCCTTCAGTCTTCTAATGGCTGGCTTTACTGTGATGGCAGAGGTGATGCTGTAGGTCCAGGCACTGTTGGCTACCGTTTTCATGCAGGAACCACAAGGCCAGATCCCCACAGCTTGTTTTTTCATCTTGGTTTTGCCGCAGAAGGAGCACGTGTACTTGGCGTGCTGGCTTCTTTCAGTCTTGCGCCATTTTCCTGAGGGAGGCACCATAACAGGTCCCACACTTAGCCATGATTTGGACCTTCTTGATGCCTTTAGCTATGTTGTGGCAAACTAGGTCTGAGCCCAGAGAGCAGGGTATTTTCAACCAAGCAAAAATATCATTCCTGGATGGATGATGTGATGATAAAAGTATATCCTGTCCCATGTAGGAATTTAGAGTGTTTCTCCCGTAGACTGGTGCAGGCCATTAGCTTGGAGGGGTGATCGTGGAATACAGCATTACTACACTGGTGGGACGGTGCCCAAGTACAAAGTGATGGACATGCAGCTTCTCTTGAGAAGGACTGTTGGCTGTGCAAATGATCGTGGAAGCAAATGTTCTGGGGACAATGGCCAGGTATCCTGGAACCGCAGGCCAAAGAAACATTAGAAGACAAGACTTTTATCTGTGTTCCTTTGTGGTTTTTATCTTTCTTTCAATATAGGCAAGTGCCATGCATTAAGAGTTATCTTCCCTGTGGTATAATGGTTGGGGTTGGCATGTGAAAGACTTGCACTTTCTCCTCCCAGTGGAAAGCAGGTGGGTGCCCCCAGAGTGACACCCAGAAGCCAGTGTTGGTAACGTCTTGTTCTGTTGTAGATGGTGTGTATCTCAAGCTCAGTGGGTCCTTGAATTTCCTCAGCAGTCACTTTAAGTAACTGCCCATTATTGGATATGTTTGGTTTATGGGAAAGGGATATTTTTGTTAGAAAAGATGAAGGTTAGGGTTAGAACACTGTATTACCAATAGATTTTTGATGTATGAAGCATTGCTTTAATATCTCACAATATCTGCTAATTCATGTAATGAAGGATTTATTTGGTAGTTTGAAGAAATGGAGAATAAAGCTCACTTCATTGAAGATTCACAGGATGAAATAATTTGCAAACTGATTTAGAAGTGTTTAATTGATGTAGTCCCCAGGGTAACTGATCAAGCTGAAAAAGAAACACATTTGCTTAGGAAAGTCATCAGTGTAATTAAATGCATGTGTTCATCCTTGTTAAAAGGTACAGGCAGTAAGAGAGTGGAGAAATAAAGTCAAATTTAAGTATTATCAAGAAAAGTGTGAAGAAGTGAGATCATGATTGACAACCTTTGTTAAAGATGCTCCCCAATAATCCTTTTGGTCAACTTTGGAAAACAGTTTGAAAGTTTCTTACTGAGTTAAACATGAACTTTCCAAATACGATCCAGGAATTACCAAGAAAAAGGAAAACATGTATCAATATTTACAAAGTGTTCAAGCAGCATTTGTAATAGCACAAAACCCATTTACATTTTCACAGCAGTGAAAGAATAAAAGCCCATCCAAGACTTGAAAGAATAAAAATTAGCTCCGACTGAAAAAGAACAAAGCAGTCCTGCTGTTTCTCAGAATGGAAGACGTGCAGTAAAAGCCAGCAGGATGGCGGGAGCACTATTCGTCCCAAGGTTGTGGAGCAGGAGTAAACTAGAGACTACTGTTGCTTCCCCCATGGTGCCCCTGCTCTGCACTACTCATCTTTTTCCTGGGGTACTCCGTTGCTAAATGGCCCCCATCTCCAATTTAATCCCTGCTTCTCCTAATCCTCCTAAGCCTCGGAAACAGCATATGCTTTAGGACGGGTCCACGCTGCTCTTAGACCGTACTCCGAATCCTTCAGAATCCTTCCTCTGATGGTGACAGACTACACACCTGTTCCTGTTGAGTTTAGCTGATTGAGTTTTAACACAAGCCCTAAAACTGGAAACCGTGTTCATCGGTGGATGAGTGGAGAGGCAAATTTGTGTTCTAGTCCCTTGATAGAATACAGCTGAGCATTAAAGAATGAACTACTGACTGCATGGATGAGTCTCAAAAGCCTTACAGTGAATAAAAGGAGCAAGACAAAAAGCCAAAGTAAATGGGTATTATTCCATTTATATGACTCTAGAAGCAGCAGAACAAATCTAGCGTGTGACAGAAATTTGATCAGTGGCTGCCTGGGACCAGGGTTGTGGCATCGGCTCTCAACAAGAGGGAAATTGCTTGGAAGAGGAGGCGAGCCATGCTTCACGGTGGTGCTTATACATTTGTTAAAAATGATCATCCCACAAGATTCAATTGTGTTGATTTTATTGTACGTTCACTGTGCCTTAATAAAGTCCAACAGAAGAGTATGGAATGCCAAGGTGTTATTCCGGTGTTTGGAGTGAGTGACAAGGGATGGATTTAGCAGCTGCTCGAAACAGTTTCCCAGAGAGACCTGGAGTATAACCTCAGGTTTACCTTTTTATAACCCTGCTCTCTGGATGGTTTGGGGTTAATGTAATGCAGAGTGTTAATTGTTCCTGTTATCGACATTATTTATTATAAATCCCCCAAATAGTGAGATAACAGCACTCAGAGGGATATGACATGGCACAGACTCCCAGAGCGCTACCTACATGTCAAGCATTGAGTAGAAGAGGTAAGGATTAGAGGGAGATGGAAGCTTCCTTGAGTCTAAAGTGGGACCCGCCTGCACCATCCTTCTCTTTTTTCAGATGTGCCCCCTTGGAATGAAGGAGCCCAGAGCTCCCACCTGAAGATACCTGAGCTCATTCATGCCTGCCTTGTGTTGCATAAAGTTGAATAAACTGGTGCTGATAACTTACTATAGTCTTTTAGTCTTGTCAACGACCACATGGGAATGAGTCAGTGGTTATGCGACGTACTGTGTGTTTAATCCTTGCAAACATAAATTCTGTTCTCGTATAAAGTTACAATTTATTCTTTTCTCAGTTAAGCCTTCAGGTATAAGATGTTATGTCGATGGATCAGAAGAAATTGGAAATGACTTTAAACTAAAATGTGAACCAAAAGAAGGTTCACTTCCATTACAGTATGAATGGCAGAAATTGTCCAACTCCCAGAAACTGCCCGCCTTATGGTTACCAGGTACTGGTGATAATTACAAGTTGTACTATATGCCATTGTTTTGGACTTAGATCTAGTAGTAGGGGTGTGTGTGTGTGTGTGTGTGTGTGTGTGTGTGTGTAGAGAGAGAGAGAAATTCTCAGATACCTTCCCATTTCTGTACAAAACAATCAAGAGTCCATGAGAATTATTCAATGTTTTACAATGTCAACTTAGTGTCATATCATGTTAATGAAAATATTTTTATAATCTCACTGCTTAGGATATTATAGTTTCTTTGTTGTGTATATATATATATTTTAAAGATTTCACTTATTTATTTGACAGAGACACAGCGAGAGAGGGAACACAAGCAGGGGGAGCGGGAGAAGCAGGCACCCTGCGGAGCAGGACCCTGGGATCATGACCTGAGCCGAAGGCAGACGCCTAACGACTGAGCCACCCAGGCGCCCCTCTTGTGTATTTTCTAATTGATAGTAATACTGATGGAAAATAATGATCATAATGTAGATAATGGCTTGGTTATAATAAGAGTAGGATCTTGAATGTTTTGTTTAGATTCATGTTGAAGTAGGATTTCTCTCCACCTTTCTTTTCTCAAACTAAGAGGTCAAACTATATGACCCCTTCTGACTTTTGTATGTTTCTTCCATCTGCGGGGATAAAATAGGTTTGAAATCTTCCTGCTTCCCCAAAGAGCCTTTGTGGGTTGGAATTTTTTGTTTTTGTCTTTTTACGTAATCTCTATGCCCAGGGTGGGCCTCAAACTCCTCACCACCCTGAGATCAAGAGTTGGCATGTTCTACCAGTTGAGTCAGCTGAGACTGTACCTGGCTAAGGCAGTCGTGGGTACTCTTACTTGTGATACAAATGACCTGGAGGACAATTATAGTTGGTCCTTGAACAACACAGGTTTGAACTATGTAGGTCCGTTGATAGGTGGATTTTTTTACAGAGAGTACTGTAAATAATATTTCCTAGTGATTTTCTTAGTAACATACACAACATACAAAACGTGTGTTAATTGGCTGTTTATATTATTGTACATACATTTCGGGGGCATGTGGGTGGCTCAGTCTGTTGAGCATCAGACTCCTGATTTCAGTTCAGGTGGAGATTGCAGGGTCAGGCTCAGTGCAGCGTCAGCTGGAGATTGTCTCTCCCTGTCTCCCTCTGCCCTCCCCACTCACATGTGCACACTGTCTCTCTCAAAATAAATAATAAGATCTTTAAAAAAAATTACAGTTACATTTCAGGGGGAGTCAGAAGTTATACCCTAATCTTTGTGCAGGAGATCAGAATCCTTACACACCTGCCACCCCCTGCCATTATTTAAGAGTCAACCGTGTCTGCATTCTGGAGACGTGCGCATGTCTCCCTGGAAATTTGTTCTGTACCCAGCTTCAGTTTGTCTGACTTTTACCTGGATTGTCAAGTTTAATAGGGTTTGCCTTTACTAAAAACTGAGCAATGCAATTTTATAAAGATAGGTTTTGCCAAATACTCCCCCTTTTCTTCCCCATAGACATGAATTCACCTGTTATATCTGTAAAAAATGCCTCTACTGAGTACTCTGGGACCTACAGTTGTACAGTCACAAACAGAGTAGGCTCTGATCAATGCCAGCTACACCTGAATGTTGTTCCACGTAAGTACCTTTTTTCGGTCTGTTGTGATAACGTCTGTTTCTGTTGTCTTCATACAGCTTCCTTTGGTTCAGTCAGCAAGTATGTATTGAGGGCAAAGGGATGCTAACTTTGGCAAAGCACTCTGCCTTGGTTATTAGCTATTCTAAGTCCTGGAAAGGGGGGAAAATACTATATTAATAAAGACTTCATTATTGTAATGATATTAAGAAGGTAAGAGTTGTCAAATCGACTCATGTATCATTAGAACGTTCTTATGTGCCAGCCAAGAAAGCTTTGAATATTAAAATGTTTTAGTCTGGTTTCATGATTTTTATGCTTGAAATAGTATTATACAGTTCAGAAGAAAGTTCTTTCCAGTGGATTTTCCCACTGGACCAAAAACTAATTAAAATGTCTCTTAAAGTTAATATATACAGTGAAATCAGTCCATCAGGTTGTATCCTTAACCTTCAATATGACTAGATACAGATTTTTTTTTTTACTATTAATTATTTTCTTATTAACATCTTATTCTAGCTTCAAATAGAGCTGGAACAATTGCAGGAGCTATTGTAGGAATTTTGCTTGCTCTAGTGCTCATTGGTCTTACCGTCTTTTGCTGTCGTAAAAAGCGCAGAGAAGAAAAATATGAAAAGGAAGTTCATCACGATATCAGGTAAGTAAGTGACACAAGAGTTGCCGAAAATAAACTAAATGTATTATGTCTCTAAAGTGTTAGTTCTCTTAATCATGTGGAGCATTTACCCCATTAGAACTGGATAAAAGCTGTGGCTCTTCCCCTCAGTACATTTGAAAGCTTTACTTTCAATTGCAGGTGTGTGGAATCAACCAACCTCCGTTGTGCCCCGCCTCCAGCCTCAATTTTGAATCCTATTTTAAGAGCTACTGCAAAATGCTTATCTTAAGACTGTCTGCCTTCTCCCAATAAAGTATGGGCATGAAGTTTTCAAAAAAAAAAGGAGCAGATGTTGAGGTTTAGAAAGACCTGATCGTATCAAGTGACATCAGTAATTATATAGAACTGTTAATGTGATTTTATTTTTTAATATTCTAAACTAGTAGATCTTAACTAGAAGTGTGTGTTGCATTATAGAACTTTAAAAAATAACATGACTGAAATAACATCCAGGAAATAAATGGACACTTGGTAGGTGTGGCTTGGGGTCTGTGCACTTGTCTTTTAAACTGTACCAGAGGTAACTCAGGTGTATATTCTTTGTCAGTGCTTGGTGTGAAAAATCTTAAGCCTAAATTCTCAGCTTTTGCGAATTTAAATCTGCTAAGCTTTCAGCTAATGTCTTAGAGAAGTAATTTTCATAACGAAAAAGTTTTTCTTGCTTTTTTTTTTGGTAGAAATATTTCTATAGGTGTTAGTGCCTTATCAACTATAATGTGTTGGCTGACTATAGATTATCTTGATCAGTGATAGCACAGTATGAAGAAATTTAAGTTTGTTCCTTGTAAGAACATTATAAATCAGATTTTTGTAAAAATTACATTTTATTATGTATGAAGGTGTACATTGTGTAAATGATAGATTTGGGATGAATACACAGTTCATGACATTGTAGCGTATTGCAGTTGCTTTATTGTGCGTCGCACACACTTTTATATACATATTTAAATAGAGGATCTTTCCTCACCCGTATCCATTTTTCATAGCTTACATAATTGTAGGTTTTTAGAAGCTTGTTCTTTGAATTTGTGTTGGGATCTTTGCTTTCTAGGGAAGACGTGCCTCCTCCAAAGAGCCGTACATCCACCGCTAGGAGCTACATGGGCAGCAATCACTCATCCCTGGGCTCCATGTCTCCTTCCAACATGGAAGGATATTCCAAGACTCAATATAACCAAGTACCAAGTGAAGACTTTGAACGCACTCCTCAGAGTCCGACTCTCCCACCTGCTAAGGTAGCTGCCCCTAATCTGAGTAGGATGGGAGCGGTGCCTGTGATGATTCCAGCACAGAGCAAGGACGGGTCTATAGTATAGAGCCTGCGTGCTTTCACCTCTGCTTTCCGTGGTTCTTTTCTCCTCTTCAAATAGGAAGACTTCCGTTCTAAATTCTGCTACCAGCCTCAAAATATATCAAGAAGTTAACCAGAAACTGAAAGTTATACTTTAGAAAGTTTTGTTTGGTTACTGAAAGAGTAAAGGTATTGAAGTTACTAAAGACAGATTCACCAACTGAAAAAGGATTTCCTTTAAGATATTGATATGATAGATTTCTGAATATCAATACTTAAGATAGAGCACTTTGAATATGAAATCCTAGGGAAGAATTGGTGAACTTACATGCACCCTAAGTTAATACTTGAATCATGTGAAAGTGGTACTCCCTGTTTTCTACCATTATTTTTAGGTTGCCTTTCTCAATTTATGATCCGGTGTCCCCTCCAAATTGGTAAAGAAACATTCATGGCAAAAATACTTAATGCCACATCTATGTTCTTTTTATAGCTTCTTTGGAAGCTTATTTATATATGAGTTTGAAATATCTCTAATAACATAGAAAACACTACAGTGTTCTAGAAATTAGTTTTACTTCTGAATCATTCATAAACCTTGTCTATGAAATGATTTCTAACTATTTAATTGATAGACTGCTATAGGCAACAGGGACATAGTAATCTCTTTTAGATCCTAAAATAAAGGAGCATCTCTCTGATTCATATAGAAAATTTGCTGCCAGCTACATACAGCAGTGATACTAGTTAGCGGTGCAGTAGTGAATATGGGTTTTGTTCATGAGTGATCTGATGCCTTGAAGCCCATGGCCATCTTCAGAACAATGACCAGTCAGAACAAGGATGGAATATTTTGCAGTTCCCAACTAAATAGTAGCCCTTGAGGTAATATTTTTCTAATAAGAAAAATTATAATTCACTTATTATTTGACAATTACAGTTTGAAATTCCCTGATTATTGGTTCCAAATTGAAAAACTTTTTCCCTAGTTGGTTCAGTGTTTTGGTTCGGGGGGGGGGGGGGGGGTGGTTGTGTTGGTGTTGCATAATATATGTTCTAGAAACACGTAATCCTAAATTTACCCACTTGAATGCAGTTCCTGGAGGATATTTTCTTCATAGACTCAGAATGATGAAATACATTTTCTGCTAGTAGGTGTCCTCCATCGATTCTGTATTTCAGACTTGGGAAGGATGTATAGCTGCTATCGTATGGCCAACATGTCTTCGTATAGTTGCAGAAAATCAAGATGAGCTTTGAAAAGAGTGAGTCTTAGTTTTGTGAAAGTGATTTTATTCTTTAAAAAAAAAAAAGAAGAAATGAAAGGAAAAGGAGTAAAAGGTATACTCCTAACTGCCAAATGTGTTAAATACTGTTGTAGTAGAAGAAAGTGAGTTTATTGTATTTCCCTTAAGATTGTGAGGGAGTGTGGATATAGTAAAATGAGCCAACAGTTTCTTTATAGTAAATAAGGTTTGCAATAAATTATTTCACTAGCTCTAAAACCTTTTCCCTAGATTTTGGTAGGGAGTTGGTTTCTGTTGATCTCTTTGGGTGCTGTGGTGGTAAATGCTACATTATAAATTAATGTTCGTATGAATTTGAGATTAGAGTATTGTGTATACTTTTTAATGCTGAACTTAAGCTGAATGTCTGTGTAATGGATTAGTGTATAGTTTTATATATTTGGAAGCATTTTTTAGTAGGTTTTTAACCCTATATAATATTGCTTTTATACTTGTGTTAACATTTTCATCTGTGCCTTTGGGTAATTTTAATTTTTATTATGAATTTCTGGTGCCTATGAGCTAGCTATCACCTGAAAGGTGCTTAGAGGTGAAGGTACTGTTCCTAAAAACACATCACTGTGACACCTTTTCTTTTCATACTTTGACTCTTGCCTCCTCTTCCCTGTTCTTTTTGGTTGCAACTTAACCGATTGTGTTATTCATAAAGATTTTAAAATTTCCACATCCCCAGCACTCTTTGACTGTGTTTATGATTTTATATCAGTAGCTATTTTTGGGTGCCACATGTTTGGCCTGTTTTATATGAAAATTTATAAGATAGTATAAGAATAAATAACATCACAAACTTGAATAATGAAAGCATTTGGTCCTTCCCACCCCCAGTTTTCGTACAGTGAAGATTACGCTGCAGTCTAAGTAGGAACTACGGTAAAAGGTGGACATGTCCTCCTCTCTAGTCTAGGATCTGGCTCTTGAGTAATCAGACTCTCTCCCAGAAGCTCTTCCAGCTCCATACCACTTACCGCCTGAGAACGCAGCTCGTAAAACAGCATTTGTGTGACCTGAGAAGACCAGGTGGGTGGGAGTAAGTTTCGAGGACAGAGTTAAGTTTTAGATTTACTTCTCCAGCTGTTCCCATTGTAAATTTCAGCTGATCCCACAGTCAGGTCAGTCAGGTACTGATAACTTCCCAAGTAATTCTTCATGATAATTCATTTGAACTAGAAATATTTGTTCTAGAATGACTGTTAGTAATCATCAAGTGATTCAACCAAAACTGGTTATTCAGTCCTTAACCATGAGAAAGCCAAACCAGGCCACTCCAGAACGGCCCTGCATCTTTGAGGAGAACCCGTTTGATTCTACTTGACACCTGAGAGACTTGACACCATCTTGTTTTGAGTTACACAGGATCGTTTGAAAAGAAATGATACTGGAGAGTATGAGTTCTGTGCTTGGAATATGTAGTTCACTGGTGTTCTTTTTCTTATTGGCAGTCTTACCAGTATTCCCCTCTTCGAGAACCCCCAAAATTTCTTATCACGGTTACACTGACCAGTTTATTCAGGCAAATAACTATGCCATGGAGTGGTTACAATGGAAACACAGCCTGTGTGTGTCTTGGGAGGAGTTCATTGAAGAAATGCAGTTAGATTATGGATATGAAGAAATACCTGATTTTGTTAAAATAATTTTTAAAGATTGAGTTCTGGAAATTTGGAACAAATGAAGGGCAAGTAAACATTTTGATTAAATATAGAAAGAACTCATTGCATGAAGTTGGATATCCAATTCTGTAATGTATGGCTTCTTAAAATAACTATTCTGTCTTTTTGTGTGCGTGCGGCATGTAAATTTGAAGTTTTCTGAATGTTTAAGGTTTATTTCTAATCATCTCCACAGTGTTTCGGGCTGTCGGATGCCTTATTCCAGTGTGAATAGAAAAAACAAACATTTTATGTGGTTAATGCTTTTGATGTGTCACGTTAAGGAGTAGTTTGTAGAAAGTGTTGGCACAACTTTAACTTTTTAGTGGCTTGTGACATTATATATATATATGTACATATACCTTTGTAATATTCTTGTGTTTGGTAGTATAAATGTTCTGGGCAAGTTTTAATATTTCCAATGCCTTTAGATAGTCTTGCAATAGAGGCAACACATTCTGCAGATGGAGTTTTTACTCGTTTGCCTATTTTGACACTAAAAAAGGTCCATAACTGAGCACAAATTCTACAATGTTACAGAAGTAAGGAAAAATAATAAATAAACTTGTGACTTGTGGTTCTGTTTATCTTATAGATGGTAACATCAGCAAATAATTTCTTCATCTAGTCTCTTACTATTATTTAAAATCAAGTTTTAAAAAAATACCCTGTTTTGTAATTTTAAAAGTATGGTGTATATCGGTTAGATTTGGTCCTGAACACTAAAAGCTCCAATCAAGGAAGAACTCTGTGTTTTCTGCTAATTTAATGACATAAGTGTTAAGAGAACCACAATTTATTCACTTAATTCTCATTCCTAACTGTGAACTTTTGTGATAAACTTGTACTACTGAGAAAAAATATTTTGACACTTCACATATGCAAGTAGAGAATTGATAAGTGTCAGTTTCAAAAATGATTTTGTATTTAAAGTTTCTGGCTTACGTATCCAATGGTGCAGATTTTGAAATTTGTAAGAACAAATTTGTTTTTAAAAAAACCAAAAACTTGCTCTAGTTTTGTGACCTTGTGTACTTTTGAAATAAAATCAAGAAAGCAGTTTTCTGCCTCATGGTGTGGCTTCATTGTGCCTTTTTAAAAATGACTACTTCATAAAACTTCAGTATGCTATTCCTCAGGGCTTCCTTTTTTCCTCCCCCCCCCCTTGCATCCCTTGTTAAACAGAATAAAGATCAAACTATCACACATCAATGAAAACATGTCAGACATAGATATATTTCCCCACACCTGTGCATTTATTATGAGACCAAATAACATATTTGGGGTTGAAGCCTCCCACAGTTTTGTGATCAGTTCACAATTTAGAGCATAAACTCAAATCTGAGTTCTTGAAGAGTAGCATTGAATACATAAACATCTAGTTATGGTTTAAAGCTGTTTTCGTTGATTCTAAACAATGATTTCAGAAGAGAAGAGTGAGGTCGTAATACTTTTGTAAGAAGACATTTTTAGGAATGTTTTGTTAGAATCGAGTTTTTCAGTCTTAGCATTTTTAGCAGCATTGGGGCTGGATAATGCTTTGTTGTGAGGGACTGCCCTCTGCACTGTAGCATGTTGAGCAGCGTCCCTGGCCTCTTTCTTCCTCCCCAAGATGCGACAATCAAAAATGTCTCCAAATGTTGGCCACATGTCCACCTGGGTGGAGGGCAAAATTACTCCAGTTGAGAACCACTAGTTTATACTAAGGTGAAATTTTCTACTCAGAGATTAAGAGGGATAGGCCTTATAATCAAACGTGTCTAAATTCTGCTCATTACTAATTGCTTTCCTTAGCTTCACTTTCCTGTGTTTAAAATGGGGAGAAAAATTATACATCCTGGGGGATGCTGGATGGCTCTAAAGAGAGAATTGATATAATGAAAATTCTGTGCATGTGTCCCTGAGAGCTGGGATGCTGATCGTGATACCCAGATTTTCAAAGAATCAAGATTACAATAAAACATGCTGAGTGAAACTGCTGAGTATAATTTAATGCCTTTAATTTAGACCATATTTTAACCTTGTAGCTCTCAAGGCCAGGTCATATTTGTGGTTAGTTAAGTACCAAATGGCAAAACTGATGAAACACAGGTAAAATTGAATATAAAGTAATTTGTTTTTAAATAAAAATGGTCTAACTTTTAAGCCTAAGGCATAATCAAATGTAATTTCTAAATGTAGTAAAGACATCAGTGAAAAGATCATGAAGCCAGTCCTAGGAACCCAGATCAGTTTTTCATGCTGGTATTTCTGAAATCTAAATCAAGTGTGATGTTTTGTTACTTAAGTGATTTTTCTAAATTTGATAACTATTTATAGAAAAAGTTGTTGCAGGAGAAAATTCTAGAGTTAATGAAGAACCAAGAAGTAAATTTCAGGATAAGGTCCTTGATCTATCAGTTTGCTTCTCATTTCACTACAGAGCTGTGAAAATTCTAACTAATGGAGATTGAGAAAGGGGGGAGAAGATGCAGGAAATTAGAAGTAAAATCATTGCCGGTCTCCGACAAAGTACTTGAAACCGACATGATCTTGACTCTTCCCCTGCGTCCTTGTCTCCTAATCCACTGAGTCATAGTGGACTGGTTGTCTTAAGATGTAAAAATGATCATATTAAAAACCAGATCATCTTAACCTGATATACAGGAGCTTTCCAGGCCCATTCCACATCCCTCCAGTTTATTTCCCACACCCCCAGGTGCACCTTTATGTGCAGTAGCCATGCTCAACAGCTAAGGGCCACGGTTTCATACCTTTGTGAGTGTGCAGGTTCTTAAGCCAGAGAACAGTCCCGCCTTGCTCACCTGGCCTGCAAGTGTATGTTGAGTCATTTTTCCTGATTTGCACCCCTCCCCTCGCTTAAAAGATAAATTAGGGGTGCATCTGGGCCCTCAACATTGCCCGTACAGGTATTTTAGGGCCCCAATCCTTTGCTTTCCAATTGTTTAACCTGCTTAATATGCCCTTTTACAAGTTTGAAGTGGATTTACTCACCTCTATCCTCAGTGCCTAACTCTGACTTGCATATTGCTCAGCAAATGCTGAGTGAGTTTTTAGAAAGGAGACTATGAGCACTGGGGGCAAGTGTGCCTTGATTTGGTGTGTGTCCTGTGTTCTCCAAGACAGCTGCCCTGGTGGCTTCCAAAAAAGACTGTCCAGAGAAAAAGAGTGAGTGAGTATGTGTGGGGAGAGGAAAGTGCACGTGGCTTCTTAAAAAGTTAACTTGCACAGGGCGCCTGGGTGGCTCAGTCGGTTAAGTGTCAGACTCTTGGTTTCAGTTCAGGTCATGATCTCACAGCCGTCACGGGATTGAGCCCTGTGTCCGGCTCTACGCTCAGTGCGGAGTCTGCTTCAGATTCTTCTCCCACCTGCACACACTAAGAAATAAAAATCTTAAAAAAAAAAAAAAGTTGCACAAATACAGGAGGGGGTGTGACCTGATCGAATAGGAACAAATACAAGAATAAACCTAATTATTATAAAAAACTGGAGAAGTGGAGAAGCATTTTAGAAGTAAACTTGTAAAACCCTCCTGAGAGATGCTAAGTGGTCTGGAGTGAAGTTAGTGACTGTTTTCGCTCCAGGGTTATTTTGATAACTACCTATGGGAACCTCTGAATTGTTCAGGAAACCCTTTGCAGATGACTGGTTTCCATGCTAAGTCATTAATGGTGGTATATTTTTTTCTTGGACTTCACAAACTTCCAGAAATATTTAGAGAGGCCAAAAAGTGTACATGCTTAAATATCATTGCCTGCTTGTGGTATATTAATATTCTTATCAGAATTTAGGGAGCTCTACTTAGATAACTAAAATACCATTTCTTAGAAGATTTTAATTTCCAGAAAAAAAAAAAAACTTTTCAGGTCTTTTAAAATAGTCTTCTGAAATGACTAGTCATTTATTATTAATTTCTATGTATAATCGTATTAGCTAGGGCTGCCGTGACAAAGTACCACAAACTGGGTGGCTTGAACAGATTCACTGTCTCACGCCCTGGATGCTCGATGTCTGAGATTTAGGTGTTGGCAAAATTGGCCCCTTCAGATTGCTGTCAGGGGAGGATCTGCCCAGGTGGCTCTCCTTGGTTTGTAGGTGGCTATCCTCTCTTTGTGTCTCTTTAGATCCCCGTTCCTTGATGGGTATCTCTCTCTGTGCCCTAACTTCGCTTTTTTATAAGGACACCAGTGCCACTAGATTCAGGCCCACCCTGATGACCGGGTTTTAACTAATTGTAATGACAAGGATCTATTTGCCGATAAAGTTATACTCTGGGGAACTGGGGATGAGGACTGCAGCCTATTTTTGGGGGCACACAACTCAACCCATGTCAGTAATGGTGATTGGAAATTACGAAGAAGAACTAATAAAATAGTGAAAGTTGGCATGGAACACATGCCCAGAGGGTTTCTTTGCTTAATTTTTGGTGGAAAATAAAAATAGCCCCTAAATAACTATGCCAACAGACTTATTTAATGGTGTCCGTCGCCCTCATCACCTCCCCCAGAAGTGTACTGTTTATTTCAAATATGGAGTGACCATATGTGCTGTTAACCTCCTATCTTTTTGTCAAGTGAAAAAGGAGTTGATGACGTGGTTACGGATTTGTCTTGTCTTAACGAATCTTGCTAACAAGATGAAGCTATTTTTCCGGGGAAACAGTTTTTAACCCCAGGAAGACATGAATAGGTGATACGGACCACTTTAGGAAGAAAAAAAAAAAAAATCCACCTGATTGTGGAAGCAGGCAGATGGCCATTGCTCTACCATCACCTACGATCTAGACAAGAACTGATTAAAACTCATTTCTAGGTTAATTTTCTTAAAGCATTTAGGCTCACTCTCTTGCTGAAAAGCTTTCCAGGACAACCTCTAACTTAAAAGGTCAAACTCTAGCCTGATTTTAGACTTTCACAACTGGCCTTCCGCTACCACACTGCTTCTGTGCTTACACTTGCATATACATGTTTTGTTTTTTAAATAAAGTTTTATATGAAATTTTTAATTTAACAAATCCTCTCAGATTATTCTGTATCTCTTCTGTTTTATGTTATCTACCTACCTAAAACCTTTGTCTTCAAAACTATATTGCATCATAGTGATGCACTAACTTAACCAGTCTCCAACTGAGGACCATTTAAATTGATACCATCCTTTTGATATAATGAGTAAAATTACAAGCAGATTTGCATGTATCTTGTTTTGCATATGTATAACTATATCCTTAAGGTAAATGTCTAGAGAAGGAGGTGCTGAGTAAAGAATATTCTGATCGCTATCATTAAAATAGCTTCTTGTTAACAGCAGCTCATGCTTGCAATGGATCTGAGTGCTTACCTCGCCCCAAATCCTCACCTGTACTCTTAATCCAACTTTTTGATCTTTCTTGATTTCTGAGAAGAGAATTATCTCATGGGTTAACATTCTATTTCTGTTGATTCGCTTGATTATCTTCCTGTGTTTAAAAGCCCTTTGTACTTTTTGAGAACTGCGTTCATACACTTGCTCTTTTTTCTTTTGTATTACTATTTTGCTAATTCGGAGGAGCTCTTACATACTAATAAAATTAGCCCTTTGTGATATGAAATGATTTTTTTTTTCCAGGTTACCCTTTCTCTTTCACTCTGTTTATGGTCTTACCCTTTTCTGATCATGTAATCCTAACCCTTCCTAAACCATCCTCCTGGTTCAACCCGTCTTCTCCCTAAGCTGAGCGTCACTTGGCTTTCCACGTTTGTCTCCTCTCCTTAAGCAGATGTCAGGCCTTTCAAAGGTGGAACATCTTTACATCCAAATGATCAACACATAGATTCTCAGTAATCTGTTGATGATGATAATTGCAGCACTCTGGCTGTGTGCACGTCAAGTCATAGCCACACATACCCCATCACAGTGTGTTTTTTCTCAAGTTATCTGTGGTTTCTTCAGGTTGCTGGTGTTTGGGCTCATAGCAGTTGCATGGAGTCAGCACAGAACTACGTTAATGAATAAAATGAGTTAGCTTGCCCTTGGAAAGAAGAGTTGTCTAGGTCCCCTGTTAGGTCAGCTGTCACACACTA